TAGATCTTTTTAACCCTCCCAGGCTCAAAATAAGTTTTGATAAAAGGACGAACAACTAAGTCCTTCAGGGGTACTTCTGAGTTAAAAAATGCTCATGAAATACGTTTGTGGAGTCACCAGGTAGGTAGGTTTTAATGTTGCAAATCTGCAACGCCTGCCTCCAGAGGGTTAAATAGGGGAACCAACACCCCAGTTTGTGGAGCTGCCCCCGATGTCCATGTGATACTGCAGAGCTGCATCAGCCAACACAGCCCCACAATATCCAGAGCCTTAAGGAACTCCGGGAGGATCTCATCCACCCCCGAAGCCTTGCCACAGAGGAGCTTATTGACAACTTCAGTGACCTCAGCACAAGAGATTGGAGTCAAACCCAAAGTCCTCGGACTCTGCTTCCTTCAGCTTTTTTTAAGATTTTGGGGATTAAAAAAAATCTAAAACACAATTCATAGAACGAGACAAAATGGAAAAGACTTCTAATCTAAAAGTTTTGAGGAAATATTGACTTTTCATTAACAGGCATGGATTTAGAGATATATCAACTATTACCACACATATAATTCATAGCTTAATTATTCCAGATCCACAGAATTGGGCTTCATCTTGAGTTAAAAACATTCCAGAATTATCCAAATGACAGATTATAGCTAGTTTATACTTACTAATTTCAACAAAGGATGGCAGATTGACTCATGTGAATGTTGAAACCAACATAAGCCAGAACCTGTTTTCTCTACTCTTTTTCAGTTAATCTTTATTCATCTGTTCTTTTTTCTTCATTGAAAACTAGAGGTCTACTTGGAACATCATCTTCCTGCATGACAACGTAGGAACCAGGGCCCAATCTGAAGGTCAAATATCTCTGAATCCTTGTATAGTTTTCTTTTCTTTTTAAGGGAACCATCTACACTGGTGAACACAGCTGGAAGAGTTTATGATGGATCGTTAGTTCGTTGGATCTAAACACAGCATTGTTTTACGAGACAAAAAACACAAAACATCTGGAAGTGTTTTCTGCAAAGTGGTCAGACTGCTTTTCTTTTCTTTTATTTTCAGCACTCAAGAAGGGGCTGAAGTGTGTTCGACTCATACTGAAAGTTACTCAAGAAAATGGTGAAGATTTTGGCTCGACTTCCTTTTAATCCTGAATCTCCGTTTTTAGGATGCAACTCCTGCTGTACAGCGCTCGATGCAACAGCTGAAACCCCCCATGCGCTTTGGCTGGCTCCTGAGGATTAAAAGATGTGTCACAGAAAATGGGGCCCATTGTGAAGGCTTTATTTCTCTAACAAAGCGAATGCTGTACTCACTGCCAGACATGCACAAGATGTCTTTTGGCTGTTGTGTTTGAGTTCTTCTTTTCTCCTTCCTCAGCTCCCACTCACCTCCTTTGGCAGCTCACCAGCCCAGGACAGGATCCAGCCAAACCCCGTATGATTCTTCTCACTTTGACCGTATGTTTTTAAACAGCATTCAAAACCACCAATGTGAGTTTGAGTCCCACAAGAAACTAAAGGAAGAAAACAACACCCAGTACACCATCTGCCACAGATCTGCATAAAGCGAAGAAATGGCTGAAAGGACAAACCGTTCACATCTGTCCCATGGAGAACCACGCCCTGGTACCACTCTGTTCTCCGCAGACATGAATCCTACTGTATTTAAAAACATTTTAGAAAAAAGAAATAAGCTGCATTTTTAGCCAAATGTGAATTTCCATGCAGACACTTATGCAACATTTTCCTAAATGCAGTCTTGTTTCTTTAGACCCACCTGGCAACTGCTATTACTCAAATCATAAACAGTCAACAAAAAGTGTGAGAAAAATTCATTTATTACACATGATTCACACACACACACACACACACACACACACACACACACACACACAAACACACACATGCAATTATGTACATTATTGCATCCATTCAAATATAGATCATATTCCATTAAGAGAATAAAAAAGACTTCCAACAAATATCAAACCCAACTGTTTTTTTTTAGCAGAAAGCCTTCTGAGGCTGATTGTTTTCTAAAAGCAAAAATAAATGCCACGGTGAGCTTACACGTGTGCTTTAAGACAAACCAGCAGAACATTTACTGAACATGTGAACAGATGTTGATCTATCCAAAACTGGTCTTGTTCAACTAGAAAGTAGCTTCAGAAATGATCAAAGAAGATGTTCTGGTCAACTCAGTCACAGTTTGTTTTCTCCCACTGTCATAAAACACACACACACACACACACACACACACACACACACACACACACACACACACACACACACACACACACACACACACACACACAACACACACACACACACACACAGGTGTGAAATGAAATGGTCATTGTGCTTTGGTCATAAATACTTAACACGTGTAATGAGACTAAACTGGAGACAAAAACAAAAGGAAACAGTTTGGTGTAGTCTGTTGGTGAAGGCTTATTAAAACTCACATTTAATACATTCATTTAGAGAAGAGTGTGGTGAACGTGTTAGGGAACAACGTGTGGTTCGTTTTATCCAAAAAGAGCTCCACACGAGGGGAAGCAGGGACCCACACACCTGATTACTTAAATGTTGCGTTAAATTTGTTTTTTGTTGTTTTTTTCTGCCATTTTTAAATGGGCTTCAGCATAAGTTATAAAAAATAACCATTTTACCTGTCGTACATGGCTTTCTGAACAGCCTCTGTTCAGAAAAATAGAGTTGTGTCCTTTAGGACAGATGAGCTAACGGTAAATCAAGAACAGCAAAGACTAGAGCAAAATGCTGCCATCTTCCTCTAATCTAAAAATTAAAACTGGTTTATGCAACTTTGTTCGAGAAACCTCTACACCGCTGTTGGTCATCCCATGGTAGTCTTTGTGGATTCACTAGCATAGACACCAACAGCTACATGTAGCATTTCTTGTGCTTTCAGAGATAAATTCTTTACATTTCAGCTCGAAATAACGCAACTGTTGAGTACTTTTAAATAATATAGACATAGTTTAAAATTTTAGAGATTGGATAATAAAGTCATCTACAACAGGTAGGATACTTTTTAACCTTTTCACAGAAACACACTTCAAAATGGCTCAAATGTTATTTTAAGACTTGAAATATGAAGATATCAATAACCTGTTTATAAAATCCTTTTTCCGTATGAACAAAAGGCACACAGCCACCCAAAAATAGATTTGTAACGAGTGAATGAACTAAATGAGCCAATGAAATGGCCTAAACTAAGTTAAACAGCTATGTCTGAAGCTTTAAAAGGCAAAAAAGTGGTTTATTTATTCTAAAAATAAACTCAAAAATTTCCTTTAGTTTTTTCCATCAGGTATCACATTCGAAGTCACATGAAAACTTTTAGTGGTCAAGGTTTGATAACATCTGTAGAGGTTTTGGAACCCCTTCATTAACATTTGTACTGTGTCCAAATTCAGGAGCAGCATCCTTGCAAGGACGCAGCACACCCAGTTTGTGTAAGGCATCAGGAGGTGTGAATTTAGATGGTGTAGCCTTCATATTTATTGCTGCCCTTACCTCAGCGTATGTCCCAGCTGTCGCCGAGCAACCATGATGGACGTTAAAGCTAAACGATGCATGAAGAGATGCAAGAATCACCGCAACATATCATTCACAAGGAATTCTTCTAATGATTTTTGACAAATAACATACAGTAGTCCCTCGCTATTCACCCTTCACGGCTTCGCTGTTTCTCGGATTTTATTCCATCAATAAATAAAAGGCGGCAACAAAAATTACCATCAACAAAAATCTTATCAGAAAATGACAAAGATAGGCGAATGGAAAAATAGAACCAATCAGCAACTGGGAGAGGCAAAACTAGACAAGAAAAGAACCAACAAGAGTCTGGAGCCGGCCGCTGTTTGAACAAGCTAGCGGTAGCCATATATGCTGGTAACTGTTGAACAACTTATGTCTAAAACAAGAAAATGTCCGTGGCTGGGAGGAAAATCATTAGATGTGACCATCTGAAAAGTCTTTGCTTGGTGAGTACTCTTCTGGTTTTAAAAGTTACAGTGGTAGCAGCTGCCGCAGACTTACGTTTATCTTGGACATAACTTGCTTTTTACTGAGATCGAAGCCGTGCTCATTACGTTTTTCACAAGCCGCTCCTAAAGGTGTCTCTCGCTCAGTCCCCGTGAATGGTCAGGTGACCTGAACTCCAGTTCTGACTGAAAGAAGTTCCTGGAGCGCGGCATCGCTCCAGTTTATCATCTCATCGGATTCTTTTGAAAAAGTAAAACTCATTGCCATGTTTACTTTCATTTTCAATACAGTTTTCTGCTGGAGTTTGGCAGCAGTTCCACACGTGATGATGACACCTCCCTCTGTTGCGCCATGATGTAATGTGCATTCACAAGTTTGGCTTTGCGGCAATATTACTATCAAGCGTGCTTGCTCGAATGCCGCAAAATTCACGCATCGCCGTGCCGCTGCGGCACATTTATAAGACGCACCAAGGCGGCAGTACTACGTTGATTTGCCGGCATGGTGTGTCTTCTAAAAAGGCTTAATAAATACACCTGAAAACAATCCTTACCGTAGTTTTTTTTTTTTTTTTTTACAACTAGCTACTTCGCAGATTTTTCCTTTTGCGTAACGCAACTCCCGCAAAAATGTGGGACCACTGTAAAACAAGTATGCAAACAAGCTTTAACCTTTTGAGGGCAAACCTATACTTACATTTAAAAGTGTAACGTTCTCCCGCTTCATCTGCCAATATTACAAGAACAAAAATCTCCCATTTAGCCCAAAATGAATCCTGAAATAGGTTGGGCCAGTAAGAATACACCAGACCCATTTTTGAACTTTGGAAAAAAAATAATGACGTGTTTTGAGTAGCCTTTGAATGTGGACAGGTTGTTGCTTTGCTGTGATGTAATCTGCCTCATTTGCAGCCTAGGAAGGATGCAGCTCCTGAATTTGGACAGTGTTTGTCTGACCAGTCGAAGTGCAACATTAAAATACCACAAGTGGGAAAAGTGCAAGTAGATTTTTTTTTAATGTTTCAATGTAATGAAAGATTTGAATTCAATGTTTAAATAGTATTGTAAAAATAATCGGTTGATGGGAAATGTTTACCTGTTCAGAATGTTTAATGTAAGACACTGAAGATGTTAGTTTGCTATGAAAAATGTTGTGGACTTTTCATCATGAGTTAAAAAAAATTAAATACAAGTAGCACAGAATCACTTCAGAAAAGGTTTGAGTCAGAGAAACTCGAGAAAACAAAAAAACGTTTGCATATCAAAGAAGGTGAGCTCTGGAACAGGGTTGTTGGAATGGGCTCTCTTCATTAGCATCACAACACAATGCCCTCCTCGTTACACTGCAGAACCTCGTTATGTTGGACATGTCCCATCTGCCGATGGAACTGTCCCTGTTTCTGGGTCCTCCAGCAGTGGATGCTTTGACCGAGGGTGATGCTCCTAATGCTTGGGAGATGGGTCAGCATGTTCATGGGCAAAGACACCACACCGGAGCCTGCTAAATTCAACTCCTGCAGGGAGTTTAGTCCACTGAAAACTGCAGGACTTAGACTCTTTAGCTTAGGGTTGTTGGAGAGATCCAGAACTTGCAGGTTCTCAAGTCCTTTAAAGCTGTTTGGCTCAACGTCTTGTAGCTCATGGAGACCACTCAGAGATAAATAAGCCAAGTCTTTGAGCTGATTGAAGGCTCCCTCCTTGATCTTTGTGATGGGGTTGGAGTCCAGGTTGAGGTACCTCAGGGGAAGTCCTACCATGCTAGGTATATTAACTAGCAGGTTTAAAGAGAGATTAACACTCTGTATGTGTACAACCTTTCCATGTAAGTTAGTGGAGACAGAGACAAGCTTGTTATGAGACAGATCCACGCTGAGAGGTTCGCTGTTCACTTTAGACGCAAACACATCCATGCTGAACTCCTGGAAATTGTTGTGACTAAGGTCAACTTCAGCCAGCGGGAGACCTGAGAAGCAGCTCGGTGACAAACTCTCCAGGTTGTTGTGGCTCAGATCCAGACTCTCTAGGTAACGCAGCTTAGACAACGCATCGGGGCTTACCTGAATGTAACACAGCAGGGAAATTATGATTAGTGAGCTAAAGGTGCTTTGCTGCATCTTAATGGTTTATTTCAGCATTCCCAGCTTCTGACTGGTTATTCTGAACAGTGTTGCTTCTTCTATACATTGGCTTTTAAGTGACTGGTTAGAACAGATTATTAATCATATGTTATTGTTATTGATTATTGTCACAGGTACATTTTCTGTTGTCCGTTCTTGAGTAAAACAGCCTAAATGTTACGATGGTTTTGGGTCTCAAAAATCCCAGTTGCAATATTTTAGTTTATATTATAGATGTTGACAAGCAACGCAAAATGAAGTGTGGGTGAAAAACTTAGTGTTTATTTGAAATGTTAAGGAATAAAATTTGTACACTGTTTCCTTTGAGAGAGAGCTATGTGTGACTTCCTGTTTATTTGATGTTGGGCAGTTTTTTAAAGAAGCTTTAAAGAAATATTCAGCAGTTTTTTACTCTTTCTACAAGACATGGGCTAGTTTTTGGTTTCAAGGTACACAGTGGTATTAAAATGTCATAGTGTCAAAACCACTAAGTATTTCTTTTACACTGCTGATTAAATTATTTTTAATGAGATGTCAGAGGCACGGGTTTTCTCCGGTCATGCATCAGAGCTCCTACTTCTCACAGTCAGCTGTGTACGAATTTTGTACGACGAACAAATTGGGGGAATTCCTTAAACTTTTTCTACCACTGGGGGAAAAAAAAACCCAATACAATTGGACATTTGAAATGCAGGCTTGTTTCCCTGAGGCATGCCACTTTTTACTGTTTGACAGCATGTGTAAGCTTTGCTACTGAGACGATACTCAGCCTTATTTAATAGCATAACCAAATTCAGCCAGAGGCTAGTTTCTATCTGCTTTTTATTGACAGGTTGGCATGAAAGTTTAAAGACTTGTTTCAGGAATAACTATGCAAATTTGTGACATGATTCTCCTCTTCCAACAATCCTTAAGTCCAAGTTAACTTGTATTTACAGTACATTTGCAGTGGTTTCTAAATAAATGCCTTGTGAGTTGATCTCTGTGGGAAAAAAGCTCTCACACTCCTGTTTCAGGAACTAGAAGTGAGACGGCAGGATTTGAAGTGTTATTTTCTGATATTGGTACATCTCATCTCACCTCTGACCGGATAACAGTAACTTGACTCTACCGCTGGCTCTGTTTGCTCTGCAACATTGATGTTTTATTTCCACAAATAAAACAAGCCTGGAGGCGTTTTGCAGTGTTGCGGAGTTGCTAATGCTAACGGTTAGCTTCAACTAGCCGAGACACGCTCTTCTCTCTCCTGGTTGCTAAATCAACAACTGCCTTCCTTGTTGCGAGCCAAGATGGGTGAATGCTAATTTTTCTGTGTGATACAGGTGCTGCCTATTGAATGTGATGTGTATCTAATGCTAGGTGATGGAAGCATTTTGCACGAAGAAAGTGGAATCTTTCTTGTCAGCAATATATATATTTTTTTACTATGAAGTCACCTATGATGTCAAGATGTTTCGCAAGATTTCTCATTTGACCTGGGAATGTTTACAGGTAAAGTCAGTTCATGTGTAGCCTTTGCTGTCTGGCTGCAGACCAGACAAAGCATGCAAGACTTTTTATTGCCACGTGAGGGTCTGTCATGTTTTGAAAATTGTCTGAGTTTAGTTTTTAAAATCTTGCCATGTGAACCAGGCCTTAGACGCAGTTTCTTGCACTACTCACCTTATTTATACGGTTGCTGCTGAGGTCCAAGCTAACTAGAGTGGTGTATCCTGGACCAGCTAGCACGGCATCACTGAGAGGGCCCATGTCGTTGGATGAAAGGTCCAGATGTGAAGTGTCCAGTGGAATGGGAATGGGCATGGAGGCATCGGGGCCGAGGCCTCGACAGTCCACCCTGGTCAGGCTGAAGCTGTCAAACAGCCCAAAGCTCTCCACCTCACAGTGGCAACGGGGGTGGCAGTTCCTGACGCCACTAGACTGAACACCCACCACCAGTGACAGGCTGAGCCACAAGAGAAGAGCCATTATGCTCTGAAAAAAACCCAAAACATATTACATTTAAAACATTTATTTCTCACATCACCACTCATCGGTTTCCAAACTCTGCCTCAATCGGGTCAGTGCACTTTGTCCAAACTATCTCACACTTCATCTGTTTTGTGTGCTTAGAAATTCAAAGAGCTGCCATTTGCAAGGCTTTTACCAAGCTTTGTCAAAAGGCTTAAAGCCTTTATTTGTGCAACTCGAGCAGCCCCAGCTTTCCTCCTTATTGCCTCCCCAATGGATGTGACCTAATTTCTCTGATCAATGAGTTCATTTGCACTTTCTTATTCAACCCACTACAACGAGTACGCATTGCTGGAAGGGAGGGAATGTAGGGGCATCACAAATCTTTACTCTATCTGGAAGCTTGGGAAGAAAAATCAGAAACAAAGCTTTATCACCATGAAGTGATGAAATTAGACAAGTTAAAAGAATTAAATTCTGTTTAAAATAACATGAAACTGAGCATAAACCAGCCGTACCTTTCCTCTGCTCTTGATGCGCCCCTCTATGTGACACATCTGAACAATGCTCACTCACGCAGCTCATCTTAGGCAATGTTTACACACACTCAACCAAAAAGGTAGGAAAACTGTCCAGAGGTTAGTTGTTGCGTAATAAATAAACATGTTGTCCAGGTCAAATTGACTGGGTATGACACAGCAGATTCAAATATATGATCCACGATTTTATAGCTGCGTGAGAAAACAAATTGCAGCTTCAGCTTATGTCCCGATAACAAACTGCAATTCTCGTGCCTTCTGCTTGGCGCAGACCTAGAATCATCTGCCTGACTTTCAATTGGTCTTCTCTAGAAATCATTTGCTTCAAAATAACAATCAGTTCAGGCTCCAAAAGGGCTCCAGCAAAGTAAACAGTACCTTTTAAAGGAGTTTGTTTGTGTTGTGCTCTAAAGTAGGAGGTGAATTATCTTGAAATCATCTGAGAGGTGCAAGCAGATGAAGTGTCTCAACTTAGGTGTGTTCTTGCTGTGTCGTGGTTCTAATTCCATGCTTTCGTTCTTTTTAAACACAGAAACAGTTTTGTTTACCTGTTTTGTAGCTACAGTTTCGCCGACGGCTGCCGGCTTCGTCAGGCTGACGCTGATGGTGAGCGTCAGCCTGAAGAAGCCGGCAGCCGTCGGCGAAACTGTAGCTACAAAACAGGTAAACAAAACTGTTTCTGTGTTTAAAAAGAACGAAAGCATGAAGTGTTTCAAGTTACGAGTGTTATCAGCAGAAAGTATGAGGGGTTGGGTCGTTTGTCTTAGATTATGTAAGACAAGAGGTGCATTGTGCTCATGAGCTTCTCTTCACAGGCTGATTACAATGGCTCAGAGTCCAGCTAATCCAAGCTGCTCACCTCTGTGCAGCATTGTTTTCCAGGTCTTGACCTGTGAACTCCCTTCTACGGCCAGCGGCTTAGTGGAGCTGTTGATATAAAGGTTCCTAAACTGCGAGGAGTTTGTTTGACGTTTAATACGCATTCTGCTTGTCTGAAAGTGGTTTACCATTGTGTGTTTACTGTGAAATCAAGAGTGCACCAGACAGGACTGGGTGAGCTTTAAAAGTGTTCATTAATACAGAGTGCACAAATCTTTCACCAACTGAACAAAAAAGTAACAGGACTGTTTTCCAGCTCAGAACTGTACAAACTGAAAAGTTACCGTCTGGTGTGTGCTCTGTCGATAGTGAGTGAAAGTGTGTATCGGCAAACTCTGAGCACAGATTTCATCTATTTCAATTTTTTTCCCAAGCCTACATTATTAGGAGGCATAGGCCTGAATGACATTTAGATAGTATGATAACCTTGAGCAAATTGGTTTAAACATGTCACCAGCAACATTTATTGTTATTACTTTAAATATACAGAAAACTTGTGAAGCAGGGACTAGTTACTTTGCTGACATTAGCGACTAAATTACCCATTTAATCAGTTTATGCAGCAACTTATACAAGCCTTGTTCTCCTTTACACTGTAGTTCTCTGGTTCTAGCTCCATTCATTCTTTTTTTTTATTTTGTGACATCCAATTAAATTTAGTGTTGCCTCCTCAAACATACTACTCTTCACATGCAGGTTCGGAACAATGGAGAGTGTTCTCCTACCAAGCCATGGCGTATATATTTCAAAAAGAGCCCAAACGGCTGACTTTTGACTTTTAGACTTGTGAATACATTGTGGAAGTTCACCTCCTTCTCCCTAGAGGAGTATTAGTAAGCTGCCAGTTTCTGGAGCTGCATAGGCATTTAAACACCTGGAATGGTATGATTTTAAAATTGTGTTTCTGATACTGTAATGTTTTAAAACCTCAGATCTAATAATTAATCCCTTACCAGTTAATAACTACCGTTCATTTTAACATCTATTTCTTAGCTTTCCTAATCCAGATTGCTAAACTCTACGCTCTGTTTTTGGATCAGATCTCTGATTGTTTTTTAATCTGATTTGGTGCTAAATACTGATAAGGTCATTGTAGTGGGGGATTTTAACATTCATGTGGACATTGTAAATGATAGCCTCAATGTAGCCTTTAGTAATATCTTAGACTCCGTTTTACTCAAAGGATACATAGCTCCACCCACTTCTGCCATCATACATTAAACCTTGTGCTGACATACGGCATAAGCCGCTTTTACAAAACAATGCCGTCCAATTGCTGCAACGCCGTTGCAGCATCAGGGACCCATAGGTTGTTTGTAAGTGGTAAGTAAGTAAATACATTTTATTTATATAGCACTCATCACAGACAAAGAATCACAAAGTGCTTCACATTGATCAAAACGAAATAAAACAAAGTCATAAAATCATAAATAGATTAACATCATAAAATCAACATGATCTCAAAACAGAATCAGATTAACGTCAGAAAAAGTCATAAAATTATAAAATTTCATAAACAGATGAAAGATTGAAAATTTGATTTAAAATAAGAAAATAAAAGGTTTAGTTAAAAGCATCTTTAAATAAAAGGGCTTTTAGCTGTTTTTTAAAAGTGTCCAGACTGTCAATGCTGCATAAGGATAAAGGAAGATCATTCCAGAGTTGGGGTACAACAGTCTACCTCAACTTTTGTATCTGGTCTTTAGAACTTCTAGAAGGTTCTGGTGGGTGGACCTGAGGGCTCGGGTTGGAGCATACGGCTTTAACAGTTCAGTAATATAGGGAGTAGCTTGACCATGTAGAGCCCTGAAAGTTATAATCAGGATTATAAAAATGAACTCTAAAGTTAACGGGTAACCAGTGCAGAGACATTAGAATAGGAGTGATGTGTGCTCTTCTGTTTGCTCCAGTTAGGAGCCTCGCTGCAGAGTTCTGGACCAACTGAAGGCGGTCAAGGGCTTTTTTGTTAAAACATGTGAAGAGTGTGTTACAGTAATCTAAATGGGAGGAGATAAAGGCATGGAGAACCATTTCAAGTTCATGTTTTGACACCAACCTTCGCAGTCTGGAGATATTTCTTAAATGATAAAAACAGTTTCGGACCAACGTTTTTGAATGACCTTCAAGAGACATTGATTGGTCAAAATTAACACCCAAATTCCCTAGGTTCGTCTTGACGGCAGAGGATAAATGACCAAGTTTTAGACTAATTAGGGGAACCATGCTCTCAGGGGCAATAATCAGACATTCAGTCTTTTCAAAGTTTAACTGAAGGAAGTTATCTTCTAGCCAGCTGGTGATAGCTGAAAGACACTAGTAATTCAGACATTTTGTAGAACTCAGAATCCTTAAAGGAGCAGTACAGCTGAATATCATCTGCATATAGGTGATGAGACATTTTGAAAAGAATCCAGTATCTGTCCAAGAGGGTGTATTTACAGCAGAAACAACAGTAGACCCAAAAAAGAGCCTTGGGGTACCCCACAGAACAGATCAGTAGAATCAGTGGTCAGACCGTGGCGGTAATGTGGGGCAATTGTGTCCGTTTTATAAAAGATTAGGTGATGGTGGCATAAAGAGGGTATGGGGGCAGTCTTGACCGTTAATTTTGGACATAACTTGCTTTTTATTGCGACTGAATTAGGGTTGTCACGGTAACCGGAGTAGCGGGAAACACCGGTAAAAAAGTTGACAATAACAATAACGTCTTGTTTTAAAAAAAAAGTATTATCTCAGTGGATTACCGCGGCTGCGGTGTAGGCGTGGTGACCCTTACCAGCCACCGTATCATCTGCTGAAGTTGCCGGCGGCACATGCACACTTTGTTGTTTACAACCAAAACTTTCTTGAAGCTAAAGCTGAAATAATGGCCAAAGGAGGAGACTGCAGCACTCAGGACACCTATTATCCCCCCAAAGAAAACAAAGTCGGAAGTATGGCCATTTTTTGGATATTTGAAGAATGCCGAGGGACAGTTGATGGAGGACGGCTATCCTGTTTGTAGCATGTGCAGGAAAAGTGTCTGTGAAAGGCAGCAACGCTTCAGATCTCATGACACATCTGCGTGACCATCACCCACAACTCTACAGTCAACGCAAGGCAAGTTAACGTTAGCGTTTTAGCTAAAATGCGTGATCCAAGGATTTGGGTTGAGGGAGAATGCAACAAGTCGCTATATAAAGCAGCCGCAGTGCCGCTACCTGCATATAAAACTCCCCCATATTGAAATGATGCTATGCATTATGGGGCTCCCAGGGGCAGATAGGAGTTGGTCTCTCTCCGAGAATAATTATGAATTTAACAACGATTACTGCCTGATGACATTTTCCCACATCTGCAAAGCTCACTGGAAGAACACAGAGGACAATATTTTCCTGATATAGGGTTTATTACTCAAGGATAAAAAAAAAAGTATCATCTGATCTAATATTTTTTAAATGATGACATCAAACAGACAAAAAATAAGAAGTTATGGGCAAATATTGGTATTTTAAAGACTAAAGGGGAAAAATGTAAACAAATACAAAATAACAAATTTTAGGCAAAATTTAGACACAAACTGAGGACAATATTTTCCTGATATACAGGGTTTATTTAGTTGTCTGA